TAAAATTATAATTTCAATAACACTCACACTCTAAACGTTCATATGTTATTTTAAACGAATACTTTTAAAAAAATATTTTATTTGACCTTTATGTAGAATTAAGTTTTAAATAGATAACGTATGATAATATGCATATATTGATAAAAAAAATGCGTATATTTGATCTACTATGATATAAACATTATGTATTCATATATGATTGTATAGAGCATATTTTATATAATTGTATAGAAATACTCGTACTTCCGAGAGTACGGAATTGCTAAATTTCAAGCCAACTACAATATATAACATATAAAAATTAAATGTTCGATAGAATAATGAAATACTCGTATATGTACATATGTATTTTTATTCTATATGCTTAGCATAACATAAAAAATCTAATTATATAGTTTAAAAATTCTGTTAAAGTAAAAGAAAAACCAAGAATATAAAAAAAAGAAACCAAGAAGAAACCGAAGACATAGTAGAAAAAAATATAAAAGGAAACGAGAAAATACCAGATTAAGGATTAAGGAAAATTTCATTATATACATTTTAAAAACATATCGAAAGAGGGGGAACCATATCGTACTTTATATCTTAGCATCTACACATATAATATATTCATACATGAATATAAATTATAGGTATTTATGTTATATATTATGTTATATATGTGGGTAGATGAAACTAACAATTTTTCAATTTTCTTGGAAATTCCATTAGAATTACCGAAATACGATTATTTAAATTCTTCGTTCTCTTCATTTTCTTTTTCTATTAATTTTTGATATTTAAGGATTACTATTCAATATTGAAATATTAAACATTTATATATGTACCTTCTATTAAAGAAAAGATCTCATTCGATCACATTATAGTTATAGTCATAATCATTTTGTTACGTTTATGTTTGTTGAATTTTTATATTGTATTAATCTTTTAAATTTTTTTTTTTCTAATATTTTAGATAATAGTTATATAATTCAATTCTTGTATACAAAGATAATAGATTAGAAGTATACCTATGTATGTAGGTAGCAAATTGATAATAAAAATTTCAGTAAAAAGTTCATTATTCAATTATAGTGAAATAGTAAATGCGTATTCGTGTAAAATTAGAAACATTCTTATAACAATTTTACTATAATATTTTGTCCTTTAATACATAATTTTCTTTATGTTAATAAGATGTTCAGATTCGATTTAGTTAGTAATTCTTTAAAAATCTAAGATCAGAAGTATCAAGTTAGAACTTATTATTATTCCAAATCTTTTGTTAGGAAATTCTTTGTGGGTGTATATCAATGAATTTATTTCGTAACAAAGGGACATCAAAGAATCATGCTCTTTTTATATTTTAAATTAAAAATTTAATAATTTAAGTAATTTAGGTTAGAAATATATCTATTAAATTGTAATCAAAAAACAAAAAATAGACTACTTCTTATAAAATAAAAGTCCCTGCCTCCCTATGTCACAATTTTTCCCTTATATTCCCAAAATAAATTTTAAAGTTGTAATGAAAAAAAAAGAAAAAAAACAAAAATTTTATTTTCTAAATATAAGCATTTTTATCTAAATGCTATTTGCAAATAGTAGTGGTAACTTATACAGGGTAATTTAAATTTTGTATTCTTTTCATTAGATTTAATCAAAAATTTCAAAAAGTTTTGCTTTGAAGAGTCATGTTTCACGAAACCTTTCTTAGAACGGAAGCTAGTACACAACGTATTTGGGCAAGAAAAATTTTTGCGAAATTCTGTTGAATCCTGTATCGTTGAAATTAGATTTTTTAGCTCTAATTCTTTTATATATTATACCGCTAAGAAATTTTAAAACATGATACAACGTCTAAAAATTGTATTTAATGCGACACAAAATTAATTACATGGTCCGAATGAACATATTTACCGAATGACTTTATTTATTTCAATTGAATTATTATGAAATAGACAAATACTTTTAGCCATTAGTTAATAAAAAAAAATGATAATAAAAGAATATAAAAAACAATTTCTAATTAAATATCCTTAGAATAACAATAAAATAAATATAAAAAAAATATATTCAAAAAGCGTTGAAAACAACAAAATTAAATTTATTCTTTAATAGCATAAAAAAGTTACAAAAATGAAGGAAACTTCAAAAGAAAAAAAAAAAAGAAATTTTTTTATTTTTTTCATTCTTGCGTACGAAATAATATGGAATTATACTGAAAATTGCTTCAAAAATTCTTAGAATTTTTATTAATCTCTACAGCAAAATTAAGATAAAAAAACAATAAAACAATTTTTTTTTACTTTTAACTTTTCTAAATAAGTAATTAATTTATAATCTGAGTGCTTTTCTGATTTTTCTTCATATTATAAATCAAGAAAGGAAAAAGCACATGAAGTAATATTAAATTATAGAAAAAGAAATTCTGATCTGAAAAATTAAGGCCGAAATTTCATCATTATTAATTTTTAATCATCATCTCAAGATATCTTCTCAATTATTCAGTATACTATTGTTGGTCCTTTAATTTACGTTACATAATTTTAAAGGAGCATGTAAAGTATTTTATGACCCGAGAAATTTATGTTAATTAAAATGCAAGTTCACTCAGAATTTTAAGACTTGTTTACTATTAAATGAACAAAATTTTTGAAATCCTAAACGTAGAAACATCGCTTAGATACTGATTTTGAGATTTACCTGATTTCTAGTTTTAAAAAATTACTATTAAACTGATATTTGGACTATTTAGGTTGAATTAAATCAAATTCTTTTCATACTTTACTCGTATTTTTTTATTATAGCGAAAAAAGTGTTGATTCTTTGAAGTCTGTCTCTTGCTTTCTTATATTTTCACTCTAATAAGCTTTAAAAATAATTTTTCTCTATTTAAATGCTTTTAAAAAATGTTAACACCATTTTAAGAAAAAGTTTTTGCTTTAATCTAAAAATATAGGTTAAAATTATTAAGGATAATTTACAGAAAAAAAATATTTATAATATAATATAACAAACTTTTAACAATAGAAAATGCTCCATATAACTTTTATAGTGATAATTCAAATACTCAAGAATTAAGAATACAAATCTAAAGAAAAATCCAACCTTCAAGTTATGTAAAATTGCAAAATAATTAGTAAAGCTATTTGCCAGTGAAATGAGAATAAGTTCGTAGAAACATATTTAAATATGAGAATTTTCTTAACCGTAATACTTTATTCTGAGGTTATATATTTAAGGATAATAATAAAATTAATTAATATCGTGCTTAAATCAATAGAAAATTTCTTTATTATTTTAAAAGAAAATTTAAAGTTTTAAATTATATTTATGCAAAACCAAATGTTATTTAAAACTTTGAAAAAAAAACAGCTTAAAAGTATTTCCAAGGTATTTTTCAAAAATATTTCTTTTGTTTTACTTTTTTGTAGTAGGAAAACAATATTATGATCGGAATAAAAGCCTCATTAGAACAGCCAATTTAACAACAACGGAACTTCTGAACATTACAAAGTCCCCAAATTTGTCAACATTATAAAGTCGTCAACAAAATTTTTTAATTTTAATTGAAGTAAGCAAGCGATTGTTATCTGATAATAACTCAACGGTCGGGAAAATGTGAAGGCATTTTAGGTTTCTAAAAATATTTTTTACCGATGTAAATGACAATTTTACGTAAAAAGTTAAAAATGACGCCTTTAACATCAATTAACTCTAATGAGATCTAAGAAAAATATTTGCAAATACTTATAAATTTTTAAACGTAGAACCTTCTTTTCAAATTAAGTAGAAACGCTGAGATTCCATTTTCATATAAACTGAGATTTTTTTTTTTAATTTCAATTTGAATGAGTAGGATTTTTAAAAAAGAAAATTTCTTAATATCCTTGCATTTGTTAAACAATTTACAGTCTTTTTTGAATTCAATAAAATTTAAATTGAAATTCTTCAATAACACCATAACATTAATTAATTTAATATGTTACTTAATATTAAAAATTAACCAAATGTTTATTTCCATCATCAATTTGTATGTAAGATGAATAAAAAAAATGTTCACAATGTCATTTTAAAATTGTAAACGCTTATTAAAAATTTTCTTTTAAATTTAATTTTGATGCATGCAATTGTATGTAATATTAATTAAATTTCATTATATTTATAATGTCGGTTATAAGTAGGGTTCAAAGAAATATAAAATAAATTGTATAAAATTGCACTTGCATAAATTAAAAAAAAAAATTATATGAAAAATATTTCAGCGAAGCGAAACATTTTTATTAGAAGTCGCCGTGTGTGAATTGCTTGTCATATATTATATAATTTAAAAGATTATTGGAAATACTTCTGCTGAACTATAATTTCTCTTTGAATAAAAATTACTTTGAAATTTAATCAGTAACCTTGGTTATATAGAGAGCAAAAGATTAGCGGCTTTGATGGGTTTTTAAATTCTACGCGATTATGTTGGAATAAATACTAGAACTGTTAAGTTGTAATTCCAAATATCTCAAAAATGAAGGATTTTTCACTTGTAAAGAACTTATTTTTCTTGACTCAATTAGTAATGTTTACTCAATGACTAAAATTGAAATGCTCTCTTATAAAGTTCGGAAATTAATACCATATTTAAAGTTATAAAATTGAATAAAGGAACTCCATGTTGTTGCTAATTCCCTATTAAACTTAGTTATTAATTTTAAAAAAATGTCGGTCCGCTTTATAATAAATAAAAAACAAAACTGCTTATAACACAATACAGAACTATTTTGAACAGGTGCACATCTCCTGTTTTATAGAAAAACTTTTTAATTTGCCAATTAAATCCGTTAAATTTTATCCTGTCTTTTTTTTTAAATTTTTAAAAAATGTTTAAAAAAATTTAATATGCAATTTTCTTCTTTATGTATAAATATTTCATAATAAAGTACATATACATACATATATATGTAAGTATATGATATGTGAACGTGTCCTTTTCACCCTAACATTTATTACTTTTTTTTTCATTTCAGTCAGACGTACAAAATAGCAGAACTAAATGTCATACACCAAACATAGGGAATCAAATCATTTATAAGATCATACACTCCTACATACAAACAAATTTTAAACATATTTACGTAGTCGTAATTTTGTATTTAAGTGGAATATAAGCTACCGCACTTCATGTCAGTCAACATCGTTCTGGAACAAAAAAAAGAGCATAAAATTTCACAGTATTTGATGACAACATTGGTAAAACACAGTGCAATGCAACATACAAAATTGACAACAAAGTGAAAAAAAAACAGTCCATATAAAAACTGTTCATTAATATAATTCTTTTTCCCTTTAATTCGTATATGCTTCAATTCCTCTTTAGAACCTTTTACATCCCGACAACCTTAATGCACTCAGATAAAAAAAAATTAAAAAAGAAAATCAAGTGCCAAATTCATATATAAAAGCTTTCCCTCCGTTTTTTTCGTTTTCAAGCGCGCTATTTAGTGGCATTGACACAAAAACGTTGTATATAAAAATATCTTAATATTTGAAATGTGAAATAATTTTTTAAATAATATTTACATTTCATATGTATATGATATTTTAAATGACTGCATCTTTGCATATTTCACTAAAAAATTTGTAACAAACTCATAAAAGACCGAACGAGATATTATAGCATAATTTTATCATGTATACTACCAAATGCAAAATAATATGATCATTTAATAATGGAAGGAAAATGCTTTTTTTTATTATTATTAAACTAAAAAATAAAAAAAAGGACTAAAAAGGTTAAAAAAATTATAAAATTATAAAATAAAAATTATAGTTAAATAATAAACAAAAAAAGAAGAGTATTTTATAATTTAAATAGTTACGAGAAAATGAAACTAGTGCCAACGATTTTATAAAACACCACTGAAAATTAAGAAAAAAATAAATGAGTACAAGAAAAATTGCACACTCAGAAAAAAAAAATAGTAAAAAAGTAAAAAATAAAATTCAATACATGCTTATAATTTAGGAAACAATCAAGCAATTAAGAATAAATTCTACAATTAAACTGAATTGTGTCGGAATTAAAACGAACAAATTAAATCGTTGACTCACTTTTAATTTCATACTAATGTCAACATCTCAAATAATATTAATATTTATAATGTTAACACCCCCTTAAATAAGAATACGACACATTTATATACGAAATATACAGGAGTGAAAAAGTCATCATACAACGTAAACGCGATTTGAATAAGTGATTGTTAACTTACAAAAAGAATACGCCATCATCATCATCATGACTTTTTTTATTCGAAAAGTAAAAAAAAAATTTCACTTTTTTTAAATATTAACACTTTAAAAATACATCTGCTGCACATAAAATATTACAATTAAATAATATATGTACGTGCACAACATAAACTTTCATATAATTAAGAGAATTACCTTGTTATTTAAAAGAAAAAAAAAGGAAAATAAGAAAAAAGACGTCGTTAATAAGGTGATTTTCTCTCCAAAAGAGTTCTCAAAAAAAAAGAACAAAATTTTTTGCAACAAAATAAAAATTAAGAAAAAAAAGTAATAGCAAAAAATATATTTAAAGCGGCAAATCATATAATTGAAAAAAAAAAATAAAAATACATGTATATGCATGTAATACGTAAAATAAAAATTATACAATATAATAAAATATGCACGAAAACGTTTATGATATTTTGTATAAAAAGGAAATTAAAATTCAACATGGCGTAATTAGTTAACGGTTAAATGTTAATAATTACAATTAAGAGAAAGCGAAAAAACACAAATAACAAAAATAAAAATAAATTCAACTTTTTTTAAAACATATATTTAAAAAGGAAACGTACTCAGAAATACATAAAAATTAAACAACAAATCAAATAAAGAGAGAGAGAGAAAAAAAAAGAAACAAACTGTAAATAACCAATTTTTAAAACAACACCGCCATTTTTAACGCCATCTTTTTCCGAATTAATTTTAAATTGTCGATTTAATTAATTTTCTTTTTCATTTATAAGCAACAAACAAACAAATAAAAAAAACATACTATTTTCATATGAAAATTTTATGGAGGATAAAATTGAGTGCAACAAATAAAGGTAATGATTTAATTAAATTTAAAAAAAATTGAAAAGGAAAACAAAAATTTATTTAATGAATTTAAGTTTGTATATTGTACAAATTATGTATGCGAAATTTATAATTGGATGCTGAATTGCATTTTGGGGAGGATAAACTTTTTCAGCGATTGTCCTTGTCTTTTTTCAAGTTTTACTTTTTGATATAAGTAATTTAGATAACCATTATTCCTTTAAATTAAAACAGTAACTGTTCTTAATTTTTATAGGTTAATGATATCTCACATTGATAATATATAAAAATAATTAAATTAAAATTTTGAGACGTTCAAGATTAAAACTTTGCGAAAATATTATGAATTAGTTCATCATTTGTAATTCCATATTTTCTTCAAAATTAATTTTAACAATGGCGAGGTTTTGTAATTAATGATTTCTTTTATTGGAAACTAAGAATATCTTTAGGATCAAATCACTAATATTCAATTTTACGAGTAGAAATTTATACAAAAATATGGAAGTCAAGTAAATAAAGTCTTCAAATCAATTACCAACGAAATAAGTGTAAAAAAAAGTGTATTTGTTTTAACAAATACCACATGCAGCATGTATTAAGACTCTATAAAGAATAATAATATTGTTCCAGTACTCTTTAAAGTATATCAACGTATTTCAAATTATAAAAGCTCAAAAAATCTCAAATGTAATTTCTAACATTAGATCAAAATTCATAATTGTTATCCAAATATCAAAGAAGACGAAATGTGTACATGCAAAAAATTCATAAAGGTTAAAATGACAAGAATATCTTCTCCCATAAAATGAATTCATTTACCTATTATGGACTTCCATTTTTCAAATTTTTACTTATCCTTTTTGTATGGTGCAAGTTTATCCCACAACTACTTTTATGATTAAATTAAAAACATATGAATTTTCCCTCTTAACGTTGCGTTTGGCACTATGTATTATGCAGCAATAAAAACTTCATAGGTGAGACAAACACTAAAATTTTTAACTAATAAATGCAACTTTCTTCAAAATATGTATGCATATACATTCATAATATAATTAATTTTATTATACTCTAACTGTCAGCTGAGTTTCAGTTTTTTAATTATTATAATTTGTGCTTAACGTGACGCGTCTTAATTTTATTTTTTTGCCTGCGCGTTTTCTTTTTTTTTAGTCTCGTAAAATGTTTTTTATATCTGCATATTTATTTTATTTTAAGAAAAAATAAATGTATTACAAGGATAGGTGAAGGTGTACATGAAAAAATGTGTTTGTACAAGATAATTGGGTGGATGTATTTGTGTTTTGCTGTGAAAATGAGCGGAAAAAAATATTAAAGAAAATGATATCAATTTTATGTGAAAACAAAACAACAACAATAAGGATCAACCGAAGAGAAAAAATAACTGCAGTAAAAATAACGAAATAAAGCAAAAAAGAAGAGAGAATATGAAAGTAATTACACCTTTTACCGTTATATTTTTGTATAAGCGAGTCAAACAATAAATATTCCGTTAAAATATGAGTGAAAAAATTAGTAGAAGAACAGATGAATCCAATTTTTTTTATTTATTTTTTAGTAATTAATTTTTTTCAATTTTCTCCCTCTGTTCTTTCCTTTCGTAATTTTTTTCGTCGGTTTCATTTTACTATTTGAGTATAAATAATAAACATGTGAAAAGGAAAGAGATAAAAACCAATCTGTTATTTTTCCGTCATTCCTTTCATTACACAAGTAAAATAATATGATGACGACTGTAAATTATTTATTTATTTTAATTTTTTTTGTTCGTTTCTTTCCAATTTACGATCATATTTTTTATCCATTTTTATTTATGTATAACATAAAGAAAACACATATTTTAACCCTCTAATGTCTCAGAACTATTTTAGTAACATAACATTAGTATAATATAATGAATTTTTGAAAATAAGTTTTAAAAAAAGGTGCTCATAAATATCATGTTCTAAATTTTTTTCTTAATTTATGAACAAACTCATATAAGTTTATTTTTCTGAAAAAACTAGAGGTATAGAATTTCTTGAAAAAACTTGTGGTATAGAAGTCCACGTCTACTTATTTCTATTACATTTTTGCTAACACCCTCTTGAGGTTGTCATGAAATGCAAACAAAATTTACCCTGGCTAATTTGACCTCGTTTATTCAACATGGGAATATAACTTCTCCTCCAATATTTTAATAATCTTGAAACTATTAATTTTTTGTATAACTTTACTTAATTTTTTTTTCTAGTAAAACAAAAAAATTTATATAATTAAAATGGTTTTTCTTTATTTTTCATTTCAGGATTGCGATATTAAAGATAACGATTAAATGAACATTGTAAAAAAAAAATGGTTGCCGGAGCATTTTAAATTCTATAAATGTTGTTCGTTTTGGCTATTTACTGTAGAAAATCATACTTACTATAGTAAAATAAATGAAAATATATATACATATTTATTTTCATTTTTCAATTAAAAATAAACATTTATTCTTAGAAAACAACACCACCATACAAAAACTATTGCAGTTATAAAACAAAAACTGTACAATCACGTGCAAAGCAAAAAAAAAAACAAAAGCAGGTTTAAGGATTTTTGTTTTCTCATATTTTTTTCTAATTAATTATTTTGGTGTGATGAAGTTTAACGATAACGGGAAAGAAACAAAATTTTTGGGCTAGAAACTTTAAAACAAAAGTTCTTAAGGAGTTTCCAACTTATAAACAAAAAAAATCGTGAATGAAAAATTTGTTAATTAAAAAAATTTAATGTAAAAAGTTCAAATAATAAAACTAATTGTTAAACATAAAATTATTAATTTTTATACAAAAAAAATCATTGAAAAAATTAAAAAAACAACAATAGCACCAAAAAAAAAACCATAAAGCTATTTTACCATTATTGAAAATGGCTCCCAAAATTATACTAATTAAAATACTTTGGTATTCTTCGGTATTAAAATCATAGTAGTTAATTTCGGTTAGGAAGAAAAACCTTTAAAAAGTGTAACTTTTGAATAATAAAAAAAAAATTGAAAGAGAAAAAACAAACGTCCTCAATTTGGTTAAACTTGAGAAGAAGAAGTTCTTATTGAATTACAAAAAAAAAAAGAAAAGTTGCAGCTTTCCAAACATAATATCAAAATACAATATAAAGTAAAAATAAAACAAAATTTGAAATTATGAGCAAAAAGGCACCATTACATGTGCCTCAATTTACTGATACATTAAATTTATCACCACCGAGTCCTTCAATGTGCTTCCCATCGCCAAATAAAAATGATAAACGCGATAAACAACAGCAACATCAAGGTTTATGCGGTTGTCAACGTGCACCCAAATCACATTGTATATCAGCTATCGGTAAGTTTAATAAAATTTTTTTTTATTTATATATGAACCGTTACTAATGTAAGTTGTTGTAATGAATCGAATAAAAAGTTTTTTTAAGCTGCAAGGAAATAGGACATGACCAAAAAAAACGAATTTAGAATGAATAATTTGATAATTTAATAAGTATTTTGACATAGGGGTGAAATTGGGAAAAATTTATATTGTGATTGGAAGATATTTCTCGTTTTTGTAATTATGCGGAAGTTCTGAGATCAAAAATAGTTTCACACTGTAATCTGCAGAAGACCTCAATAAAATCATGTTACGGGTCGAGAAAAAGCTACGAAACCAAACAAACGTTTTAATTTTAAACTTGTGAATATTGTAAAATATAAAGTTCCTCTTTAATTCTTTAAAGTAAATTATTATTATCCTTTTGTTTTCAATCAATAATAATTTAGTTACTAATTTTGCCTAATTATTACAAAAACTTTTGACCTGATTCAGAATAAATGAAATAAAGACTGTTTCAATTTTATATTTATGTGTGATCCCTTACAATGAAAAAATACTCTAAATTAAAAATTTGAAATTTATAAAAAATTTTTTTTTTTTTGTTTTACTTTTGTAATTTATTTTGATTTTATGCAAACCTCAACCGCAATAAAATATAAATTTTCTCATTTTTTTCTATTTTCTCTTCCTTTAAATTTATTGTAATTTTAATTCAACAAAAATTAAAAAAAAGTTAGTGAATTTTAAAATATTTCAAATTTAATCTTTTATTTAAACTTTAATAAATTTTTTGAATTAATTCGGTTGGATTTTGTTTAAAAATTTAAAAATTTAAATTTTTTCAATTCCTTTTTATAATGTTAAACTATTGGGGTATTTATAGTTTTTTTTAAAGATATGTTTACAAAACGATAGAACGAAGAAGGGAGTAAAGAAGTAGTATCATGTAACAGTATGCGCATGTGCGAAGTGTTTAAAATAGAAACTGTATCGGAAAATAATTCTCAACAAAACCCAATTAACTAAAACGCAGATATAGCGAAAAAGTTAATCTAGTTGAATTTTCATTTAGGTGAACAAATATGTTTTTAAGTTTTATAAATTTAAATTGAATATAATTATATAAACAGGATTAGAAAATGGCTGTTTAGCACATACTTATAAATACAGTTTTATTATTATTCATTTTGTTATACATTTAAAACAGTATATTCTTCAAAAATTTATATTTGATTGTATTTATACTGTAAAATGTTATCCTTTTAAAATATTTTTTATATTTGCTTTTCTTCTTGTTATTTTCTGCTTTTAAATACTTTAAAAATCCTTGTTAAATACCTAAAATACCTAACTAGCTTCAAAACAACTTTTCTCCTAAAAAAAGTTTTTTTTATTACCTTCATTTTATATAATGTTGTATACTTATAATTTTATAATATTTTATAATACATATGATTTGAAAAAGGATTGAAATTTCAAGAGTTTTTTTTTTACTAAAACTAAAAGTTTTCGCTATTTCTTAATTCCTAGTTTTTAACTTAAAAAAAAAATCTCATAAAGTTTAAATAAACAAAATTTTATATTGTTATATGAGAACATTATATAATAGGCATATTACATGTTTTTATTAAGAAATTATTATATAACATATTTTTAGGATCTTCACTTTCCTAAGTGGTATTTTATACTTTAGTTATAACATACACGAATTTAGTTTTATAAGAAAAATATTTTTGTCTTTTGAAATTTATTCTTCTTAACAAGTTTTTCATGCTATATGGCAATATGTAAAACATTTCAACTGAATAGTAAACTTTTTAACGTTGTAGATAAACTTTCTAGGACAACTTAATAAATTATTTTTTATTTTGTATTTATTAAAAAGTATTTTAAATTAAATTAGTTAAACATTATGAAAAAAATGTTGTTTACTTTTGAAATATGCAATTAATAAATATATATTTTGAGAATGAGAGCTATTATAGAAAAATATAAAACATGTTGTGTTTAAATTTTTCAATTTTTAATATTGGTTGAGAAACTAATTTATTATATAGTTGTGAGAAATTTGCGTATAAAGAGTCAAATCTCAAATTGAATTTTTTTACAGTTTCACAAAATATTTTATATATAATATATACTCTATAACCCGAAGTAACTTATAATAATATACATTAAAAATAATTAACAATAACTAATTCATCTTAAATGGTGAAAATTTAAAACGTTGGTTTGTTAACCTTAAAACTACTCAATTTTAATTATTTAATCTATTACTGTTTTACTCCCATTCTTTTTAATTTTTTTGTTCGTTATTTACAATTTAACACGTCGTTATAACTTCTTATAAACTTTTATAATTTTCAATACATACATAATATGTGACTTTTGGGGTTCTTCAATTATTAGCATAGAATATTGGTTTATTAAAAATCTTTGAAAAAATCTAAAAAATTTTTTTTATTAAAAAAAAGAACAAAACTTTAACTTTATATTCAATTTTCGTTTCGTTTTTTTTTTCAACTTTCATTTTAAATAAAAAAATTTGGCCGCGAAATTTAATCGAAAATCTCTCAAATTTTTTTTGTATACATTTAGTTTTCATTTTACGCATAAATCTCGATGGTTAAAAAAATTAAACAGTTTAGGTTTTAAATTATTAGTATTTAATATTTTTTATATTAAAATCCATATTAATAAACTGAAAAGGGATATCGAACATGTGAATTTCATAACTACTTAAATTTATTTAACTAACATAAATTTAAATTGTCGCCATTTCACATAGTAAGAAGAGCTTATTAAGTATCTTTGAAGAATTGGCCAAGTAAAACATTGAATACTACCTACCTTTTTTTAGGACGAAATGAATTATTATTAAATTGAATAGTGCATCACAAATGTTAATTGTTTCGAAATTAAATTCAGTCTCATATTAAAATGCAGCTAGTATTCGGAAATTTTAAAAATATTCTATCTAATTTTTTGTTCTCATTATATTTTGATTTTAGCTAAAACATCGCTTTCAACTTTTTCATTAAATTTTTAGAAGTAAATATCTTTAAAAATTAATATTCCCCAAAGTAATAATCATTTAAAAATTTTTAAAAAACAGCATTGTATATGGAATCGACTCTTTTATTGAAAGCTGTTCACTTACAAATGTAGTCTATATCATTATTGTTGTAGGTTAAACAAACTTTAATTTATTCACATTTAAAATGTTAAAAAAATTTGTTTATTTAACAATCCAACATCTAAAAAAATAGTTTTTTCCCTTGTCTTTTTTTTCAACTAAAGTTTAAACTAGTATGAATACGATCCGATACATCATAAAATCTTTATTTTCTCTATACGAAAGTGTGCACGTGCAACGAATTAATAGTTATATAGTAACCACAACCTTAATCGTTTTAGTAACATAATTAACCTTTCCATCTATTAAGGGTTATCTATCTAAAATATTATTTTTTTCCTTTTTTTTAGTAACCTTTCATAATTCGAATAAAAAACAATTATTTTACAGAATATCTTCTTCTGTCACAATAATCTACATATCTATGGAATCTCTATAACAAGTATATAAATATGAATGTAATGTCTATAAAAGCAAGCAAAAATTTTTTAATAGTTATCACCAAAGTGTAATTACAAGTAATAATCTATTTTGTAAGAGTAACTAGCATCATATAATGCATATGCATATGGGTATATAAATAGTATAACAGTATATTATGTACAGTCACATAAATATAAATCCTGAAAGTCATAAAATTAATTAATACTCTTAACTTATTCTACTCTTTCTTAATATACTACACATATTATGTATCTATAAAAGTGAAAAACAAGATTCCTTAATAATTTTATAAACATTCTTTGATACTACTGTATAGGGTAAATTTCAAGTAAAAATAATAATACTAAGAGTAAAGTAAATAATATAAGTAAAATAATGCTTAAATAGTCTGACATAGTCATTGCTTTCATAAAAATAAATTTGACACTTGAATCTGAAAAGGTATTTAGAAGAAGCTACAATTATACGTAATCATTAATTCATATAAATCAAATCATTGATTCTTACTCAGCTCACGCCATATATTTCCTAGAAATCCTTACTACTAACACTTAGTAGAATTTCAATAAGTTTTAATAAAAAATGTTTCGGTTTTCATGGTGGAGATAGATTTTTCAAAATGCCAAAAAAATTGAAAAAGGAAAAAGTTTTTGCAACACGGTGTTGGTTGTCTCAGTTTGGTACTAGATCACATTTTTTATCTAACAAAAAGTAAAGCTCCCTACATTATTAACTTCCGTAATCCTATAAATCTTAAACATTACATAATTTTTTTTTCATTTTTACTTCGAAGGGCACACAGATACCTACTTTGTAAATGTGAAACTCTCATTAAAAAACTTAATATTTCAAATTCTATTACCATCATTCTATAGAAATTCTATAAGACTGTGTTAACAATAATTATCTTCCTACATACATTTTATTTTTTATATCTCAAAAATAAATTTTATCACTATCCTTTTACTTCCAAAAACAGACAAAAAAAGCTGATTTTTATAATATAAAAATAAAATGGGTGCAAATATAACACCTAAAGTTTAGGTATTTTGTTATTTCCATTGCTTCCACTATGAACATATTAGAATATATAAAGAAGTAGAGAAGTGTAATGTCGAAAATATCATGGAAATGCAATAAAAATTCTAATTAAAGAAAATTCTATTCGAAAGTATTTACAGGAAGAAAAAAGTTAGATTAAAAATTTTGTACGTATTCAGTTTTCTACTGAAAATTCTATATTTATATCCACATATCTAATACATATTTATTTTACATTTGCAAACAGTATAAAGCTTTGCCTGCAGCTCTTATTATATAGAATCATGTAGACTATAGGTACCATATAATATATTATATGTGGAAACACTTATATATTGTACTATGTAATTATTGTCCTTCCTGGAATAGTGTTGATTACTTTACTCTATATCTACTGTGGAGAAAAAAAAACATATTTCTCCTTATTTCAGTTGTCATTGTTTTGCTTCTTTTATTAAATCGGTTATCATTTAAAAGCAAAGCAGGAATTTCAAATAATATGAAAGTATGCAAAAATACAAAGAACGGAAGATATTTAATTTTTAAGTAATTTTTTTTTATAATTTTATAGAATTTGAGTTTCTAATTAATATAAACTCAACAAAATGTAAAAAAAATTGTACCAAATGGTTTTATCTTAGGTTTACTAAAGGTTCACAGTTTAGTAATGCGTTTTTGCGAAAATTCTTATTATAGCAATGAATATATTCAACATGTCCTGAATGTATTAGAAATAGTTTTAGAAGGTTAAAAATAATTATATTGAAAATATTCTAGCACCTTCAACTATCCCTAGACGTTAAAGAAAAAAAATAATCCTAGACATCCTAGAGCTCACCTGCTCCTCCCCCGAATGAAAACTTTTTTCTTAAAAAAAGCTCCAAGAGCTTTAACACCAGCACAGGACTACCTTGCATAATTAATCATAACTAACATTTTAACCAAACCATTAAGGGCAATCTCGCAAATTTGACACCACTTTTCTTCGTTACGTTTCAAACGTTTTATTGCTATAGTATAAATAGTAAACTTCCTATAATTGCCTGTAGGAAGGAAGTCCAATTCAAATATTATATATCGCCACAAACCAACTTATACTTACAGAAATTTTAATTATAACTTCAAATAATAAATTTTTAGTAACAATTATTTTACCTTTGTTTTAATTGTAATTGCATTTGATATGCATCAGTTAAAAAAGATGATAATAAAAGAACTTAATGAAATGTCATTACAAAAGGATGTGATTATATTGATACAGTTTAGTATAGAGGAAACGGAAATTATTTAGCCCATATATAGAAAAGGTTTTCTATTTAATTTTTATAGATCATTTTTCTATATTAAAATAAAATTAAATTGAAAATTTTATTATTATTACATTGAATAAATAATGTATTTATCCTTTTCGGAAAATATTCCGCTTTTGGTACAAGATTTTAATTAACACCTAACGGCGTAATATACGAATTTATTAAACTTGTTTTTTCAATACTTATTTAGTATTAGATTTTGTTTATTATTTTTCAAACTTAATTTATTTAAGGTTATATTTGACACTAAATGCTTGAGAAAAATTAATCACAGCAAGAATAACAAAATCTGTAGTCAAAATATGTGAAATAAGTTGCTATTTTCATATTGAAATCGAAATCTTTTCTGCACTAGTCATTAAAAACCAACAAATATATAAATCAATTTTGAATATTTGCATAAATTTGAAATCAATATAAAACAAAAATCAATATAAAAGAATCTATATAAATGTATGACAAAAAAACCATAATATCAAAGTATCAAGTGTTTAAACTAAGGAAACTAAAAATTCAAAAATGTATTCTTAGTACAAAAACATACTTTAAATTATCGTTGCTTGCCATAAACATATTAAAAATAATTTTATACATAAAACCCGCAATTCAATTTCAATTTAACTTCGTTGCCTACGTTAGATCCTCACCTAATACTTATAATTTTATCTGATATCCTATCACTGCGATTTCAAAAACGGAATTGAGTGAAGTGAAAAAAAATAAAAAAAATTCAAATATAAGTTTTGTGGTAAAAACTGAAGTAAATATAAATCTACTAAAAAAATGACCAAAGAAATAAAAAATTAGTATTATGTGCGGAGTGTTTTAGTTTGATATAAAAATTAAATACATTCAAATTTGGCTATAAAGACTTGGTTTTAAGTACACATATAAACCAAAAGAACTTAATACAAATATTTTTTGTTAAACATTATATAAAATAAAAAGAGGTTAATTGAAGTAAACTATACAAGAATAGTTAAATACCCAGTAACAGAAATGTATATGTAGAAGTGTAGTTGTGGCACCACAATTCAACCCAAATAGATTTGTTGTATTTACCTCTCATTCAGTAAAAACCACTTACAACACCTCCTCGAGACACAAGTCTCTGACGGATTCGAACGACTTGTAGGAATGAGCAGGGATATTACGTTACCAAACAGACATAAAATGTATTTTAATTTCCTGAAACTGGACCAACTGAAAATTTACTTTTGTTTATATGAAAAAATGGAAAAACAAACAAAAAAAAATTAAAAAATATTAAGGTAACATTGCCATTATTTTCTATGCAAGAATATTCAATATAGTTGTTGGTTTTGACAATAAAATTTCAGAAACATAATCTGAGATCAAAGGCTTCGTAAATATATTGACAATATTAAAGCGTAAGTAATCATAGAGTTTCTGAAATATTTTGAAAACAAATTTTGGGTTCTATATGCGTTTACTATAGGGATTTCTATACCCTTAGAAGATTTACTATAGGGATGTCTATACCCTTAAGTTTTATTTCTAAAAATCAAATGATGAATTTCGAGTTTTAAATATGCGAACCTTACATACTTTATAATCACTGCTTTAAATTAGTTTAAATAATTCCAAAAAAAAGATTATATATAATTTTACTATTATTAATGACGCTGATTTACTTAGTATAATTTAATTAGCATATTACATTTTTAATTGGTAAGCCGTGTCTACAATTTTGTGTAATCTAAATTAAATTCCTAATTAAAATTAAATGGAGTAAAGAAATAATCAAAATTGAGAAAAAAGTAAAATTTAATGGATGTAAAAGCTAAATAGTGAAATTCGAAGAAGAAGCCAGCAGGAAGTTAATTTAGCGAATTAGGTTTCTGGCATACTAATGAAAAACTGCAGATACCAAATATTTTTATCAAAATAAAAATAAATATATCACTATTTTATTAAATAAATTAAATTTCTAATATTTATCTTATTTCAATAGAATTTATTTATCCTTGCAGGAGTTCTAATACTAGTTCTTCTATATACTGCTATGGGTTCAATAATTTTTGTAACACTTGAAAGTGAAATAGAGGATATTGCGTCAATTGAAACAGCAGTAGCAGAATCAAAACATTATACTAGAACTGATTTGGAAGATGCAGAGAAAATACGAAACATGTAAGTGGAAATTCAAAATTCTGTATATTGGATTTTATTTTACTTTTTTTTTTTTTTGAGAAGGCCCTAAATTTAACAAACTTGTTTTGATTTTAGCTTAATTATAAAGAAGGCCATACAATTGTTATCATGTCGTTATACAGTAAGCTTTTCTATATAAAAGTTATTCTTAATCAATACAGTTTAATAAGCAACTTAATGCGCTAAGATGTATTATATCACTACGCAGTACCAAATAGAAAGTGGAAAGAGTTAGTTGAACCCATATTCCTTGATGTGGAATGAAAACGCCACTCCTTTTAAAAATAATTACAAGGAATAATGGTATTAAGCGACAGTATGAGGCTTTTATGTAAATTGATTTCATCTTTTTTATAATCAGCAAATTTAGTACAAACTTTTGTTTAATTTTCGAAACTTAATAAAAATAGAAATCTTATCGAAAATTTTCATAATTTTTGTAAAAAGAAACATACGAGCTCAAAGCAGCAAAAATTTTTTAAATTCAAATAAGTTTATTTTATCATTTTTATATTTAAAGACACAAAGTTGCCGCACTTTGTGCTTATTTTAATTCTAAAAATGAAAAATTATTTCTAAAAAATATATACATATATTTTTTTTTTAATTTCATTTTTTTTTCCTGCAGTTTCCCCCTAAATCACTCGTATTTGTACATACGAATGTTGTAAATACTCGAAATGCTAACATATCTACGCTTTTAAATTTTAAGAAAAATTATGTAGAAAAGTTCTTTTTTAGAAGTGAAACTTAATGTAGATGTTATCCCAGATGCTTTTCTCTTTTTTCTTCTGAAGAAAAGCAAGAAAGATAAGCAAAAGGTGATTTTTTTTTTTTGGTTTTTGTTAAATAGACTAGAGAGTAAAGCAAAAGAAAAGTTCTGTTAATTTCATAAAGAAGATTTGAGAAAAAAACTTGTGACCTCAGTCTGTTATTTCAAACTACTTTTCCATTTTTAATGTTCTTTAAAATATTATTCTTTTCTGTGTTTTTTTTTTCAATTGAGTTCTTTGATAACAGGGCTTCTCGAACGACAAAAATAATGAAAAATTCGAATGATAATTGTTGCATTGTAACTTGTAACAAATCGACAATTTAGGGAAAGAACGCTCCAAAAAAATTTACAGAATATTTGGGAGACAAGCTTCCAACAATTATACGCATTTAATTCAAAGTATTTCGAACTGGTTTTTTATTATTAATTTGTGAACTATTTGTTTGTTTGTTGAAGTAGTAATTTAGAGAATTACGAGTCTCCGCCTTATATTTGTTCAAGCATTTTTATAACGCAATACTTTCGATTAAAAAAGTAAAGGTTCTATTTAATTATAAATAATCGAAAATCCGATTAAATTTTAAAAATCACCTCGATATGTAGCAATTTTCTAAAGTTAACGGCAGTAGGGTAAGGCCAAAGTTTTCCCTAAGAGTTTATACTAATCATTCTTATGTTCACTAGAAATAAGAATTAATTTCAAATTATCTTCTTTGTGCTCTTTATATTTGAAAAACACTGTAGCAAATGTATAACATAAGCAAAGGAAAAGAAAAGGAAAACTTTTTACTTTTTTTATAATTTCATACCCATATAAAATTGTTAAAAGAAGCAAAAAATTGTATCCAATTTTTTTTTTCATTATTTAACGCTCTTGTTGTTATCGTATTGTGTTGTTTTATATTAAAAGGATTTGAATCCTATTTTATCTTGAAATCATATTGGTTTGTTTTTTCCTACTTTTCTCTTCAGTAGTCAACTCAAAATTCAATACAAGTTTTGTTCCTTTCTTCTACTTATTTTTCTCTTTTTTGGTATAAATGCTAATTTGAATACAATATTTCTGTAAGTCACTTAACCAATTTCTGAAAGATACTAAATCATTTCACAAGACAGATAAAGTAAGTAAAGCTTATAAAGTATAGATTGCTCGGAGATATTAATATTACAACTTGTAACTAACAGATTAAGTTTAAAAAGACTCAAAAGTTCTTTGGAGAAAAAGGAAACTTTGTATAATAAATTTGTCTATTCAATAATATACCTATTACAAATCATTGATTGCTTGAAAGGCAAGTATGTAGATATTTGCAAATTAAACAAAAAATTCGCAAATTAAACCTGGTCGGTTACAGTAATTGACCATTCTTACATTAGAATGGCATTCTACTAAGATTTAGAACGGTTTTTCAAAATTAAGCTATAGTGAGAGACACCCCATAATGCAGCCAGATTAAGACAAATCCACTAACTTGATTTTGAAAAATAAACCTTTTTAGACGACGCCTCATTTATCGATTTATGGAAAGCAGAAATAAAATCGGTAAAGATCCAACTTGAATATGAACTAGAAAATAACATAAGAACCTACGAAGGTCCAAAACCAAGGTTCATTATTTTCAGGGCATTTTTTAATTAGAAATATAATTTTATTCCCTGTCGGCTAATGGTTATGGCTAATATTATTTTAATTTTCTAAACTAAAAGCAATATTGCAAAATGGGCGATTACAAAAGTGCGCATATTTTATCAATGGAAGATTAATATGACATTACAACATTGATAATCGCTAATTACGAAAAATTTTAAACTAAATAATTATTCTAAAAAAAAAAATCATTTTCTTACATGTATTCTGAGCATTCTTGATGTATTGTTTCCTCTTAAGTACAAGTCCATTATATATTTACATTTCCCACTGTGAATATAACCTAAAACACCTAAAATGCCTTCGATTGAAATAAATTCAAATTTAAGGCCTAATACGATGATCGCATGTAGACTCGGATTTTGATGATAAACACGACAAAACCGACTTGCATCATTCATTACAATTTGTTTAGAAAAATTGTACTTTAATTTTGTAAATTTTTACTGAAAATATTTCCTTTTTATCACTGTAGTGCAGGTTCATCATAAAGTAATGTCAAAGCCGAGATTAATGTTGCATATTCGATTCATTTTCAAAATCCAGTAATGCATCTTCACTTCATTAAAACTACTTTCTTATTATCACTGTAGTTTAGGTTCATCATAAAGTACTGTCAAAGCCGAGATTAATGTTGCATATTCGATTAATTTTCAAAATCCAGTAAAGCATCTTCACTAAATATCAATTTTATCAAAGTTATTTAACTACATGTGCAATAAAAAAAAAAAATAAAATATATATTAGATTAAAAATTAGAAAAATAGAAAAAAATAAAATCTTGATGTTATTTAAAATTTTGGTGCCATTTGCTTTTAAGAGAATCAAGTTGGATATTGTTAACTCATATCTCTATCAAAATTTGCAAAATTCCTCTATTTGTAGATTATAACTTTTCAGTCAAACATGTCGAAGACTTTCTAAATTGATTGTTCTATTATTACCCCTAAAGTGCTGAGAGTTAATAAATTCAGTATATTCTTTCCTCAACACTTTTTTATAATTTTTTATAATTTCTTTTACATTCCAAAATGTACGTCTACACGCTTCTATATTCTTATTTCGTCCCTCGCTAATGCGAGATAGTCTACTTGAACACGAGTAGGCTGATCCAAAATCGATGATCAGTTTTGCCAAATACATTCCGGAATATTATTGAAAACTACCATCTTTCAATTATAAATCACATTATTTTAGTTTTTTGTGACCCTATAAATTTGCAATTTTATTATACTTCTTCATTATCATTTTTTTCTTTCTTCCATAATTGAATTTAATCATCTGAAAGAACTTCTAAAAAATTAAAGCCTTCAGAGCAATCTTGATAATTACCCTAAAAAAAGACAAAAGTACAAAAAGACACGACTAAATGTTGTGGGAGAATTTCTTTTTTTCTTGATTTCGTGAAATTCTCTTGCATACAGACGAAAACCTAAATAATAATTTTGCCACCTTCTTTGTACTGTTTTATATCACTTTTGTGTCCCCATCTAATTTCTTGTGTTTGTTTCTGGTCAGCATGTATTATGATTTTATACTAGATATTGATCGACTTTTTGTTTTTGCAGTTTATTTTTTTCGAAATATTTTTGGGCTTTGTCTAATTGTCCATTTTGTTGTAATATTTCAATGACAATAGAAATAATTCATCCTTAGTTGGAAATATGAACAACATATAGGGTTTCCTTTTGTGCAATTTTTGATTTATTTAAATACAAAATTTGTAGTACAAAAATATTTTAACAAAAACAAAAATACAAAGAAAGTTTTTAATAAATGATTCAATAGATTTTATAAATTTCTCAATAAATAATATGATCTATTAGGTATTCTTGTTTTAGAATATGAGCAGAGGGCATGATAGAAGACTATGTGTCTTAAAACTGTTATATTGATAATTAAATTAAAATTTTGGCAGAAAACTATCTCAACTTTATAATTAAACCAAAACAAAGCAGGCCTTTTTCTTAAAATTCATTTTAGAGTTCGATTTTTTTATGCTACATAATTACGATCTATTGCAGGTTATTTGTTCTTTTTTGTTTGCTTGTATTAAATATTATTTTTCTATTCTAAGTCATTTTGTTCTTATTGTGCTTAAATGTTCTTATGAACCCCTGCTGTGAAACTCAAAACAACAAAGGGCGAGAATTGAAAAAATCAATAAATGTTTTGTATTGTGAATTCGCTTTATTATCCAATAAAAGCGCAAAATATATTATACAATTGTCCTGCTGTTTTTATCAAAAAAAAAATTATATTGTCCCCATATTTTCCTCCACCTAAGAAATTACATAAATTTTTGCGTTTAAAAGAATTATTGTTGCTTTTATTGTTCAGAAGCTCTTTATTTCTTTCGTTATTTGCAATTTGTATTTTTTCCTTCGGTATTTCTATTAGAGCGAGTTACATTATTTTCGTGCTTCAATATGCGTTTTATTTAAGATTATTATGAAAGCTGCGGTTTCTTTTGACATGACGACCATCTACCGTTACTTTTTGTCTTATTATGGCAGAAATCTCATCATTTAAAGATCTAGATAGGAGCAATTTTTT